TAGGGTAAACTGCATAAAATTAATTTTAAGTTCTGAATTTCAAATTCAGATGCACTCTTCACACCAGGAAAATTAAACACCCAGCTGCTGCCTAACATTAAACAGATAAAGGTATTTGGATTGATACTTTTAACCTCATGTAAACTCCTTCAGCTCTTTAGTGTGGCAGGCACAGCCCTCGATACAGTGAATACCTGACAGATGACAGCACTGTCCTCAGCTCAGTTTTCTTTTCAACCCTTAATCTAAAGGACTGAGTTCCACAGTGAGGGGTTTAGCATGAACACACGCAGTCTCTTTGAACAGAGACAATGTAAAAAAAACGGCATCAAACATTTAACAAGAACAGTTACAATGACAAATCTTATTATGTAATTATACAACAAGTTATTTTGCCACAACACTGGCATTGTTTATCATAAAAGTCTTTCCTTTTTACAAGCCTCTTAATACAGTACATAGCACTATCTAGACACATTGGGAGGCAATATTGTAAGGTACAGATATGTTAAATGCTTTGCCATAATATCTCTGTCTCCAATTGACACTCTGTTAAGCCCCTCCTCCAGTTAAAGCAGCTGTAGGTAACCTTTATAATAATAACTTTTTTCATATTTGCTGAAATGTTCACTGTGTTCTGACAGTAATACATGAGACAGATAATCTGTGAAAATATCAAGTTCCTCTGGCTAGTGGTCATAATGGCTTAGTTTTCAAAATTAACATTAGCAGATATACCATTCTTAAACAACGGGTCTTTGATTTCACAATCAAGTAAACAAAAGCATCCTCTCATTTGTAGTCAGCAGCTGTTGGTTGTGTCAGCAGAAATGAATATAACTAGGTTTTCTATGTACTCACTCAGTGATGGCTGAAGACTTAATTGTATTAATGAGAGCCACATTTAAGGTGTCTTCAGTGTGTACTACATACATGATATCATTTATTGACAAGATTGACTAAAGCAACACAAACTGTGTTTTTTTAATAGAATGTTTTAACCATCATACATACATAATAAGCTTCTTTTTTGACAAATACTTCTCATTGTTCTATCAGCTCTTTTGTTGTTTTAACTTTTCTAATGCAGGGCGAGGCTGTTTATCAGACAGTGAAGGCTCTGTAAATATAAAATAGCTTGTGTTCAGCTCTTCTAAGTTTAGATCTTGAATAATAATATTAACTTTAAAAATAACAATTTAATTATTTTTTATTTTTTTATTTTATTTTATTAATTTAATTTTTCACAGAACGACTGAAATGCTGAGATATAGGCTACATCTATGTTTCATTTTCTTTATTGTACTGCACTATGATCATAATTAGAAAATAAATCAAATGAAATCTGCCAGTAGTTGTGGTTTTAGCCAACAAAATTAACAGTTGCCAAAAATGAGAAGCTGCTTTTGTCTTGTTTTGTCTAAAGGCAACGACTTTTTGTTTCATACATTACCATGGATTTCGAAGGTAAATCTAACCATTGTAAACTAAACTGCACATAATGCAGTTTACAATGGAAAGCTCGTCAGGTCAGCAACTGTAGCTGTGGGGACCAGGGCTTAGCAAACAGTCAGTTCTGAGCGACTTTTTCTCAAACTCAAGATAGCACATGATAAATCACTGGCAGATCACAGAAATTCTATAATTAACAAGATGTATGTACATCTTTTTTCTTTTCTCTGAGAGGAAAGAAAAGTAACGTGTTGATCACCTCGGAGAGCGAAACAAGTGGAAATGTAAATCCTCACTGAAGATTTCTTTGATGTGAACCTTTCCACTGGTTATCCTCTGGGCTCTGCTGATTGGTGGAGTCAGCTCCTCCAACAGATACTTATTTATAATTCATAACTCATGTTTATACTTCTCTGTCTCTACAGTATGTAGAGATGCTATGAACGTCATTACTGTCCACGTCCCGTCGATGTTCACCACTTATTACTTGTACAGCAGCTGCAGCCGGCTGGTGTGGCAGTTATTTCGGCTGATCTTGCTGTCCGGTTGGTAGAGGCTGGAAGAGTTGGCGAAGGATGGAGAGATGGGATGGGGGTCGGAGGTGGGCGCGGGGTACCCCGGAGGATGGGCCAAGGACCTGGGATCACTCTGGGGGATGGTGAGGGGGGGAGAGCTGTGGTTCTGATTGGTGACAGTGGACGCTCTTCTCCTTGATCGCAGGGCCTGTCGCTCAGACAGCTGGTTTCTCAGCTCTGACACACGCTCTTCTTTCTGAGGGGACAAATATGAACAATGACTCAACAATCTACTCTAGGGACAAGCCCTCTAAGATATGGTAGGCCTATGTTTTCATTCATTTGATAGTTGATAGGTTATATTTGCAACTATTATCTATGTAAAGATATAGTGGTGTCAAACTACCTCACTCCCTACATAGCCACTCTGCTCTGTGTACTCTGCAATACTCTGTATATATATAGTGTTACAGTAGTACACAGAGTATTACAGAGTATTACAGACAAGCAGAGTACACAGAGCAGAGTATATATATATATATATATATATTTATTTATTTTTTTGGGGCCTTTTCATGCCTTTATTAGATAGGGACAGCCGAAGATAGCCAGGAAAGGTGGGTAGAGAGAGGGGATAACGCCAGCAAAAAGTGCTCAGTCGGATTTCAAAACCGGGCCGCCTGCAGCAACTTGTTATAATGCGGTCACCAGCTCTACCGACTGAGCTAACCGGGCACCCGTCTGTAATACTCTTTTATTGTATCTATCTATTATATATCTATGATATAATAATAATGAATAGGCTTCTTCGAGTAAATAATAATGTAAACTTTATAAACAAAATTCTGAGATATAGGCAAAGCTTTGGCAACCACTTGGGATGGCCAGTGGCTTAAAGGGTTGGTTTATCCAAATAAATAAAAAAATATACATCCATCTAGTGGTATCTCTGCCATGTGAATAATTTTAGGTTTGTCTCTGAGATTTCTGCTTCCACAAAATGCATTATTTAAATCATTTAATCTTATCATATTTTTGAAAATGTCTACATCTACGTATCATGCTCCCTTCTTGACAGATATCTGAATACAGATGACACTTTAAATATAGACTCCTGTGGAAAAGAGAAAGTTTCCTGCTGACCTCCTGAATGATCTTCTGTAGCTCCTTGTTCTCTCTCTCCAGCTGTCTGGACTTCTCCTCGTCGTTGTTGTTGGTGGACGAGCCGGTCTTCATGGTCTCCTGGGCATCTGACTGCCATTCACCCCGTGTGATCAGACGCCGCATCTACAAAACATTCAAGTATTTTCCTTACTGTACATGTGAAAACTTTTCATATTGACCACTGACAGTCCACTGATTGCTATGTATCTTAAATATTTTACATATATATATACTTAATTTACTTTAACATACTTTTGTCCATGATCTGAATATGAGTATATTAATATATATTATAGCTATTTGTTCCAAGGTGTTATTATTTATAGAATGACCAGTATAGGAACAGGTAACTTTTAACCTTGAGCCTAGGCTTATACAATGCTGCAATTTCACTGATTTTGTTGTAATGAACTTTTTTTAACCAATTCATTTTAAATATTACTATTATATTACTTTCATAAACATAACGTTCATTCAATGCAACATTCATACATCTACTTGTAAATGTTTTGGATGTATTTATACTTTTTGACTGCTAAGGACAGCTCAAGTTCAAATTGATTGAAACATTATATGTTTTTTCATATAATAATGTAGGTCTCTATGCTTATCCTACATTTAGTATTCAGGAACATGTATTACTACTCAGGGACGTGCCGGGTCGCCCCCCCTTGTGGCCCAAT